TAACCCACCTAATCTACACAATCCCTGAACACCACGGGCAATAAAAAGTTTTTTTTAGTTCTTATTTAGTTAAGAAACTATTTGGGTCTCCAATTTATTTTTCCTACTTAAGTCCAACCATCACAACTTTAAAATTTTATTTATCAACAGGCCTGTGGGAAACTCTTTTACTTACTCAGTATGCTTGGAATTGCAGGTGAATTCTACCACTTCGGTGTGCAGAGCATTTGTTTACTAGCTGATTACAACTTCAATTTACCCACTGTTTTTCCAGTAATGTCAATTACAGTCACAAGAATCACATTTAGACGCACATTCCAAACTAGATACTGTTGTGGCCCTGTAGCACAATATTGATTATTGAGTTTTGATTTGACTTGGGACATGGATACATTCTTCTTCAGTGGAAACCTGCAAAATAATTCATCAGAGCTGATAGCCACAGTCAAAATCCTTGAATGGACATGCTTTATCAGATTGTTTAAAGGACTTGCATTGCCTGGTGAATTGGCAAGGCAATTTACCAAGTAATAGAGTGGAAAACAGTGATGCAATAAAGAACATGATGTCAACCTTAGCTGAGAAATAGTACTCTTCCTTACAAAAAATTGTACGATTAATTTAAGATCCACTGCAGAAACACTTCAGAACCCTGAAGATAAACCCTGTTCTGAGGAAGAGTCATACTGAACTCAAAATATTATTCTGTTTCTCTCTCCACAGATGCTGCCAGACCTGCAGAGTTTCTCCAGCATTCTCTGCATATGCAATGAAGTTGTTGATACAATAGCGCTGCAGTTCCACACTTACCCATCTGTCACATTAATCTCATTGACCAACATGCCAGTTAGAATGGAGATATCAGAGCATGGTACATCTCTCTATGTCCCCCAAAACCTATTTGATTGTTAATTTGAGTAACCATGTTTGTTATTGGGTTGGAAACATCTCAGTCATCATTATGTGTGTCATTTATGGTTCATCCTGTTTTTTTACAGTGTAATCATCTTTGTTGCCCATTCTTAAATGGTCTTGAGAAAGTTGTGATAATGTCCTTTCTTGAACCACTGCAGTCTATACGGTATAGGCATATTTACAAGGCTGTTCAAAAGGAAGTCCTCCAATTTTGATCCAGTGATAGTAAAGAAGTGGTGGTATTGGTTCAAGTCAGAATGATATATGGGTTTGAAGGGGAACTCCTAGGTGGTGGTGCTGCTATGCACCTGCTGCCTATGGATTCAAGGTCAATGCTTCCCAAATCTTTTCTCAATGTGACCCCATTTTGGTGTTCAAAGGGTGCCTAGATCATTACATGTGAGCTAAAGGAGAAAGGAGTGTGCTAGACCTGTGAAAGCAGCATGGGCACAGAATTAACACAGTGTGGAGCTGGAAGAACAAAGCAGGTCAGGCAGCATCAGAGGAGTAGGAAAGTCCATGTTTGGGGTCGGGACCCTTCTTCAGAACTGACTTGACCCGAAACGTCGACTTTCCTACTCCTCTGATGCTGCCTGACCTGCTGTGTTCCTCCAGCTCCATACTGTGTTATCTCTGACTCCAACATCTACAATTCTTGCTATCTCCATGGACACAGATTCTTTTGAGAGTGTGTGAGGAGGGCAGTGGATACTTGATGAAAGCAGGTAAGAGAAGATGCCTACGAGAGTGTATGATCGGGGTGACGGAGAATGCCCGTACCGGTTGGTTGAGAGTGTGGTAGAAGTGGGGTGCCTACAAGAGCAAGGAGGGAATGCTTGTGTGTTCAAAGGGGAAATGCTGTGAAAGCAGGGTCAGTGAGGATGGGGATGCTTGTGTGTTCACTGGGATGCCTATGACGACAGGGGACTCATATAAGAGTGGCAACAGAGTGGGCAGAAGCTCTTCAATCTACAAGGTTTTTAAGTAAAAGCACTTATTTTCCCATAAGGTTTTTCAGGGGACTCACTGGTACCAGATTCCACTGTCCAGCCTTGCCCACAATTTAAAGGGGCCTCACATCAATTGTCTCTTGCTTTCAGCTCCATAGTCACCATTGACACATTGGAGCCTGTAACTGCAGATCATTGGCTGGCGACTGCATTGAGTTTCACAAGCCACAGTTTGGGAATCCCCTGTTCTAGATGGTAAAGGATGTGTGTTCAGAGGGTGCTGTTGAAGGAACTTTAGTGAGTTGCTGCAGTGCCTCTTGTATCTCGTAGACATTGCTGCCACTTGGTGCTAGTGGTGGAAGGGGTGAATTTTAAAGTTGGCGGAGGAGATTCAAGTCAGGTTGGCCTCTTTGCCCTGAAAGGTGATGAGCTTCTGAGTTTGGTGGAGCATTACTCATCCAGGCAAATGGAGGGCATTTTCACCACATGTGGTGGGCAGGCTTTGGGATTCAAAGGTGTCTTACTTAAGAGCAGAATTCCTAGGCTTTGACGTATTCTTGTAGCCACAATAATCATGTGGCTGGTCCGGTTCAGTTTCTGATCGATGATAAGGATGTTGAGAGTGGGGTATTCAGTGATCATAATGCCATTGAATGTCAAAGAGAGAAAGTTAAATTCCCTCTTGCTGGGAATAGTTATTGTCTGATGTTTATGTGCTGCAACTATTATTTTCCCCACTTGCATCAAGATCTGGACGATATCCAGGCTTGGGCTGACAAGTGGCAAGTGACATTCGCGCCACACAAATGCCAGGCTATGACCATCACCAATAAGAGACAACCTAACCACCGTCCCTTGACATTCAATGGTGTTACCATCACTGAATCACCCACTATCAACATCCTGGGGGTTACCATTGACCAGAAACTCAACTGGACCCACCACATAAACACAGTGGTTACAAGAGCAGGCCAGAAGCTGGGAATACTGCAGCGAGTAACTCACCTCCTGACTCCTCAAAGCCTGTCCAGCAAGTTCAAGGCACAAGTCAGGAATGTGATGGAATACTCCCCACTTGCCTGGATGAGTGCAGCCCCAACAACACTCAAGAAGCTTGACACCATCCAGGACAAAACAGCCCGCTTGATTGGCACTACATCCACAATTCCCTCGCTAATAGCATTGTGGGTCAACCCACAGCAGCGGTTCAAGAAGACAGCTCACAACCACCTTCTCAAAGATAACTAGGGATGGGCAAGAAATGCTAACCAGCCAGCGATGCCCACATCCCACAAATGAATAAAGGAAAAAGAAACTTATCATCCCAAGTTGAATAATATCAAGGACTTCCTGTCTATGGACACTAACCCCTTCAGCAACTGAAGGGTTTCAATTTGACTAAATGTTGTCAAAATATCAGTAAACCGTCTATAGTCTATGGAAGGAAGATGTAGCAACTGAAGATAGATCAAGTACACGACCTTGAGGATTTCTTGTAGTGATGTCCTGGGACTCGGTTTTATATCCAACAACCAAAATCATCATCTTTCTACTAGGTACGATTTCAAACAGTCCCCTGTTTGAATTGTCCCCTGATTTCCATTGACTTCAGTTTTGCTTCAGATCATCTGTCCTGATGTCAAGGGCAGTCATTTCCACCTCACTTCTCGAGTTCAGACTTTTGTTGATATTTGGACCAAGATTGTAATGTAGGTGCTGTTTGATGGGATTCTCAACAACAACTTTCATCACTTTTTTGATGATTTAGATTAGATTGATGGAGCCACAATTGGCTAGGATGCATTTGTTCTGCTCTGGACCTGCTTACTTTTTGATTCATATCATTCTGGGCTCAAAGCTTTTGAGTTTGAGCTCAATAATCAAAATTCACATTCCAGTGCATTATCGGGGGAGTATTGCTCTCTCAGAGAATGATGCACTACGGCTCTCTTGGGTAGATGTGAGAGATTCCATGACACTATTTCAAAAAGTGCAGGGAAGGTATCCAACATTTGGCCAACATTTATCCTCATTGAAGATTGGATTATCTGGTTGTTACCACTATGCTGTCTGTGTGAATTTGTGGTGTGTACATTGCCTGTCATAATTTCTATGTGACAACCAAAAGCACTTCAGCAAATTGTGGCAAAGCATTCTGAGCTATCCAGTGGTCTCAAAGACGTTGTATAGATGCAGGTCATTGTGTTAAACTTTGAGATGCCCGGTGATGTGAAAAGCACTCTATACGTGAAACCCAGAAGGAAAACCCAGCATAACTTGTTAAAAGAGGCATACTGTTCTAACCTTTTTTTCCTGACATGCTGACCCAAGTTGGAAACGATTTACCATTCTTGGGTCCGTTCACAGGTCGACTTGTAGGCAAATAGGAAATCAATGTAGGACAATATAAAACAGCTGTTCATATGTACAAGGAACCGTTTGCATGTCAGATGTTTAAAATTAATGTAAACACACCCTGGATTGAGGTTGTAGACTTGCTCGCCTGCCCCGTGTGTTTGACTGCCGACGTTTCGTCACCCTGCTCGGTAACAACGTCAGTTTGCCACCGGTGAAGCGGGACAGAACACCGATGCTTCACTGGAGGCACACTGTTAATGTTACCAAGCTCGGTGACGAAACGTCTGCGATCAAACCCACTGGCTCGGCGAGCAAGTCTACAACCTCATCCGCAACCCAAGCTACAAATCTTCTCAAAAACTTTGAGCACCCTGGATGGCACTGTTTTCATAAGTACGAGCATTCGTAAGTGAGATATTTGTAAATCAGGAACCCCCTGGACTTCAACATGGAGCTCCATTACAATTCTAAGTCTTTCAAACCAGTGCAGTGTGCATACATATCTATATTTTCCCCTCCTGTGGGGAATTATTCCACCCCCCCTTGCTTTCCAACCCTGGGGGAAACCTTCTGACACTTGCTGCCATTGGGAAAGAGGGTGGAGTACCCCTGCATGAGTAAGGAGGGAATCTTGCGATCCAGGCTGTAAGAACGTCCAGGGGAGGGCGGAGAGAGACAGATAGAGGCTATTTAAAGGTGGGGGAGGGAGGAGGTGGAGGGGGTGTGGGACTCTTTTCGGAGCGTGGCAGCTCGGCGGGAGGATACGGCGTGGATTAAAGGAAGGCGGTGTGATTAGGTGGAGGCAGAAGCGACTTGCGAGCAGCGTGTGCGGGAATTGGCATCTCAGTTCCAGCAGCAGGAGCAAGCAGCAGTGACTGGGAGAGAAGGAGCAGCGGATTGAAAAGCACCAGCCATTTACCTCCAACAGCCAAATTCCAAGCACCAACAATGTTACAAACCAGGATTTTCCTAACCGGGCTACTCTTTATTAGCACCGCAGGTACGATTTACCAAACCTTTCCCCCCCACCCCACCACCACTCACCGTGAAAAGAAAATAGATTGCAAGTGTTGCAAAGATTAAAATCGTTACTCAACGTAGTAATTCCCTTGCAGAAACAACAATAAGCAATGTTGCATTATAATCTTCTGCAAACGCATTGTTTTGTTCAGTCAATTATCTGCTTGATTTGTCTTTTTTTTTAAAAAAAAACTGCATGAAATTTTGGATTCCTCTATTTTGTAGGTAGCAGTTCTGCTGGTTTGATTTCAAGGCAGTGATTTCTTTGTTCTGGTGGTCTTCAGTAAGGTGAAATATTTGTGTGTAATGATTTTCCTCGCTGGGGTAAAAAAATCTGCCCACATCCTCCTAAATAAATGACAGATTTCTTGAATAACAGTGGTCTGTTGTAGCAAAATCTGTGAAATGTGTTTTATTTCCTTTCTGCGTTTCGTGGCTCCGTTTTTAATGTTAATTACAGATTTTTTTTTTGAAAAATGAATTGCTATCTCGAATAAGAAAAGACAGTGCACTAAGGAGCTGGAATCTATCTCCAGTAGGAGGTGCTGAATGAACAAGCCTGTGCTTTTTTTTCAATTGGAACCTTTTGTATATTTTATCTGATTGTATCCATTTTTTTCCGATGCCATTTAAAATAAAAATGGGTTTAAAGAAATGGATTTTCTTTTCTGCGGGGGTTCTATAATTCTCAGTAAACGGGACAGTCACTTCTCCCTCATACAAACTACTGCTTATTTGTAATCTGGGACAATAGGCTACGTTGCTTTCTTCAGTGTGACATCTTTAGAGAAAAGAGGAGAATAAAAACAAGGGGTGAAATTGAAGTGTGATCCCGCTGTTCTGATCAAACTGTTCCTATTACACCTTTGTGCGGGAAAGCGTTATTTTTTATTCGCTGTTTCTTTTCTCCTGCGATCCTTTATTTAAGGAAGAGATCGCTCCAAATGATTTTTTTTAGTGAGAGACTACGGTTTAATTGGTCTTGGAAAAGTGGCGATGTGCATTTTATTTTGGAAAAGTATCTGGATGTGAACTGGGACATTGTGGGTCTCACTGGGTGACGCAAGTGCGAATTAAATAGGGTAAAACAAATCATTTTCTGGTGTCGTGGGATTTGAGGGAGACTGTGTGCAAGGTGTTGATTGCAAATTTATACAAGGGTTGTAGCCACCTTTTTGTTAATCCCCCTTCCCTGTCCAGCGCAGCGTTGCTTTCCTTCAACACTCACTCTCTCCTCTGTTCTATCAGAGTGACACAATGTTACAGAGGATTTAAAGATTAATAAATCGGCGACTATTCCCCTGATGACTGTAGGAGCGCTGCTATCCGCTCTTTCAGAGAGAGAGAGACTCTCTGAGGTTGGATTGAGTCTTGGCCAAATATCTCTCTCTCTTCCTCTGCCCCCTCCCTAGCGGCTTATAAACGCCAGAGCCAAACAAAATAAATAATTAGATTCGAAGGAAGCTCGTTTCTAAATCTCCCTTCTTGGATTGTGTCCAGAAAAAATTCCAAATATAATAAAAAAAAGAGCCGGGCGTCTGTAATCAGGAGTGAAATCGCATCTTTAATTGGAGGAAAACATTGGCATCCCCTTGTCAACAGAACAATTTCTTGCCACTTCCCTCTGGTTTGATACTGCAATTACCCCAATCTTTGAAAAGCTCCAGCTAACAGTTTCTGCGTTGCATGTCGGAGTCCTTTGTTGTTTTCCAGACTAGGGGCTTCGATGTTTGTAGACACGAGTCCCAGTGGAGTTTGAGAGGGGCGTTCATTTTTCTAGGAAAAAAAAATCTGAGACGTGTGAAATGCTGACTTGTGACTTATTATGTCGGGTGAAATCTCTAAGTCTTCCCTCCCACCCAGAATCAGAGTCGACAAGATATACCCCCAGCTCTGGCTGATTTCTCTATACTCTCAGTATCTCTCTGGGTTCAGTTATTTCTCTCTTCTCCCCTCATCACATGAAGTGAAGCAGAATCGATGCAAATGGAACAACTCGCTCCTCAAGCAGCAAACCCTTTGCGCTTTGGACGAGACATCTTCTGACTACAGTGAATTCAGGGGTGGGGTTTCGCACTTGCTGTCCTTCCTCAGTCTCAGTGAGAAAAAATATGAACAACAAAAGCGGAATAAGTGACAGCGGAAGAGGAGGAAGGCGAGTTGCCTTCGGCTCTGGGGTTTAATGCTGCTTTCATTGTGTTTCCGCCAGACTCCTCCAAATAGTGTTGGAGGGAACCGATGAAAAACCCAGACTTTGTGACTCCACGTGGTTCCAGTGGCAGTGGGAGACCCTCTTACTGAGAATGAGAGATTTTTTGTGGGGGGTAGTGGGTTCAGAGCAGAACGAGTCTTGGCTGCACTTTCCATACTGTTTCTAACAGAAACCCTGGTGAAATGACACTCGGAAGATACAGGGGAAGGGTTTCTTTTTGAGAAGGTGGGTGGTCGGCCGCGGTAAAAGGCGTGAGACGTTTGAGTTTTTTTTAAAAAAAGCTGTTGAAGCAAGAGGTTTTTTTAAGCATATGGGTCTTCCGAGGGCAAAAATAAACGTTTGCAATCCGAGATGCATTTTTGGACTGGGACTGAAGATTAAACAGACGTAAAGATAATTATAGCGGCGATATTGCAATCCAAGGTGTGGGCTGTGGTTGAGGTGGAACTCAGAGCAAACAGCGTGTTCAGCATTAGTTGTCCTGGTTGAAAGGCTAAATATCAGCACGTTGCTGGGTGAAGGCTTTCTCTGTAAGTGCCCAAAAGTCAGGCTTCAGGGCATTACTGTAAGATACCCCTGTGGGTGGGGACACAGCCATATCAATACTGCAAGAACAACTGCCACCATGGGATCCTCACTTGCCTCTGATGTCACCGCTGCCTACAATATTAAATCAGAAACGTATGCTTCACGCCTGACAGGATGTTGTGGTCCATGTTTTATCTGTTGGATAATTGCCGTGCAGATTTCTCCTTGCAACTCTGATTAATAAATATCCGGGTTTATTTTGCCATCATATACATTGCCGGCAATGTTTAAGAACAGAGGAAGCACAACAGGAGTAGGCCATGTTGTCTCTGGAGTGTCCTCAACCAGTCAATATGATAATGGCTGATGTGCGATCTTGACCTCCATTTTCCTCCCTGGTCCCCATAACCTTTGACTCTCATATCATTCAAAAGTCTGTCTCTCTGTCTCAGTCCTGGGTATATTAAACCAGTCTTCCTTCACAGCTCTCTGCAAAAGAGGATTCTAATGATCACCAAACCCTCAGAAGAAATGCTACCTCAGTGATGGGGACAGCCTGTACATTGTGAAATTATAGCCCTTGACTCGACATAGCCTTGTGAATGGAAACATCCCCTCAGCATCTGCCCAGTCATCTTTAAACAAGATCATTTGTTATTCTTCTAAACTGCAGTGTATAGAAGCTCAATCTGCTCAACCTTCGTCTCATAATAACTCTTTTACACCACCTACCAACCCAGTGAACTTTCCCTGAACTGCCTCCAGATCAACTACAGCATGTCCCTATTTCAAAAAGATTTGCAGCACGGGATTTTTTTTGTTTTTAACATTGACCTACTGGTAATAGAAATAGATTTTGTTCTAAAAAGCTGTTCATAAATCCATGAGTGTAAAATGCAGTCTTAAAGCATGACAAAAAACACGTGTCAAGCATGTTTGTTGAAACTAGCACCTCAAGAGGACTCCATTTCCAAGCAGAAATGACAAAGTTAAATCCTAATTGATCAGAAATGCAAGATGTATGTATAACTGTTACAAGGAAAATGTGCCCTTTTTTTGTGAAATGAATGGCCTGTATGAAATGTGGGTTTTGTTCTGCACAAACTGCTAACAAGGTATAGATTTTTGCCTTCTGTTTTCTACAGTTTTACATTCAGTTGATGCACATTAGCTGAGATAACAAGGTGTAGAGCTGGATGAACA